TGTAGATGTTCATTGAAATTAATAATAATAATAATAATAATAATAATAATAATAATGTAAAAAAGCTATATATGATAGGATATTATGATTATCACAAGAATCCAGAATTAAGGTTGCGTAGTGGAGTGCATTCGGGTGGGGAGGATTGTATACCAACGAAGAAGTTTATCTTTTGCTTTTCAAAGAGAGGAACAAACTGGGGGTGGGTGGGGGAGAGGTTAGAGAAAAAAAGTGCAACAATGAATGAATGGAAATAAAAAAATATCTGGAGGTGTTCATTAAAATTAATAAAATAAATTTTTTTTAAATATCAGGGTGAAGTTCAAATTTAAGGTGATTTTGATCATAGCTTCTGACTTCCTGGACAGAAGTACACCTAAACCATCTCTTTCTATATCTCTGTCTCTGTCTCTATCTCTCTTTCTGGGAGAGAAAAATCATAGCATTTTAAGTTTTCTTTGTTTTTCATACTGTGGAAAAGAGTACTTATTTAAAGCTTTTTTCATTAACATGGGAGTTTCAAGCTTTATTCTCTTGTATTTTTTTGGTGGTACATGCAAATTCAATGGGAGCTCTGGTGGTGTAGCCTGTAGGGAGCTGTGCTGTGACTGAAAGGTGATGCCTCTCTGGGATTTCAATTCTACCAGCTGTTATGTGGGACAAAGATGGACAGTCTCCTAATGTGTGGTTTACAGTCTCCGAGAATCCACTGGGCAGGTCAGCTATGAGATGATTTGAACTCCACAGCAACAAGTTGAATTTGTAAATTAAACAAAATCAACCTTATCTAGACTCAATGATAAGCATAAGTAATTTACATGAACCAACCATGGTAATGAATGGGTATTTACAGTGATTTTGTCAATATGATATCTCATAACTTTTAAAATTATAACATCTATTTTCTTAATTATAATTTTTAACATGTGATAAAATAATACGTAAATTAAGGCAAATATCAAGTTTCTTCTCCCATTAATTAGAAATAAAATAAAATTTAACTCGAAGACTTTTTGAAATATAAACTTCTTTCTTACTTAGATTCCAAAATAGTCCATTTTGTAACAGCTCTCCTTAAAATATGCATGATTTCAATGACATTACAAGGGTTTTCATTAAACTAAATATGATGAATTTATTTTTCTGACCTGTTTCTCTATTTGTTGTCATTTCAAAAAGTATTCTGCTAGTAAACATCTGTTATTTTTGCAGACCAACTATCACGTAAACAGATGTGAGTTTTTATTTAGATTATATATCAGGATACAAGCAGCTGGGCTTTATTATATAAGCCACTCAATATTATCTTTGAACAGGCAATTCTTTATTCTTTGACTATTGGAAAACACAAGTTCCTAAAATTGAGCAGATGTCAACTATACTGAAAGCTTAATTTTAAACATGTAATCTGAAGGCCCACTGTGCCATCTGACCAGCACCTCATCACAGAGATACTGAACTCTCCAGTTCTCTAAACTTGACAGTTTAAAAAATAACTGCTCATGGAAATAAGGTACCCGGGACTCACTTGATACTACAAAACATGGGCAAATATTGGCTTTTATCTTGTAAATTCTTTTACTATTTCTTTAGCATGCTCTGCACATGGTGATAGATTCCCCTGAGATCTCTATCCTACCCATAGCCTCCAGTCAGGTGGATATCAACTATGTTTCTCTCCAAAAGGCATTGCCCAAAGCTTACTGACTCTGTTTAACACATCAATGGGAATACGGGGAGGATGAAGAGAAAGTGGCACAGTAAGAGAGAGAAAATCATGTCAAGTACTCTTCTTGTCAAAGCAGTGAAAAAATTCCTGCTATTTTTAGGAGATTCTTATTTTTAGTACACAGAAAATTAGCATCACTTTATTTTTCTGAGCATAAATAACAACCAGTAACGCTGCAATTAAATTGTAACTACTGACCATGTAAGTATATGGAAGCTACAGTACCATGTAATCACAGGGTAACTATCTCGTTATTTCTGCCTTTGAAGTAAAAAGTCTTGTCATAAGATCTAAGAGCCGTGTGTTACATAGTAATTTGGTGGTTGTATTTTTTTAAAAATACTTGGTAACTTCAATAACAGGCCCTCAATGGCATCCACTTATTATTTATATTGTAGAACTATTTTAGCTCCCAATTTGCATAAAAGGAAACAATACCACCATGTTGGACATATAGTGAGATGATATTTATTTTCAAAGAGAACATCATATAAAATTGTTCATCAGTGTACTCACATATTGGAATAGTTTGAAACATGAATGAGACGGATTCCTTTTCAATCTTTCTGTTTACCTCAAGGCAAATAAGGAATATGTGATGTTTTTCCAGCAGAGGGAAGAACCATCCTTCCCTTCTTATCTCAGGCTACCAGATGCTCCATACCACCCTCTCTTTCTTCCTTAGTCTGCTCACTGCTACCACTGCTCTCTGAAGTAAGTCAGGTTTGGAAAGCTCTTGCAAAACGAAAAAGAAAAAAACCAAAACACAACACCTACCTAGGAAAGTCCTCTAAAGAAGAGATACAATTAACCTAGGAAAAAAGTCAAAGTCTTTAAAATAGCTTCTTATTAGCAGCTCTTCTCTGCTAGGACATTTAGTATGACATCTCTGGTGGCTGAGTGGTAAAAAACTGCAATCCCATAGCCACATGGTTCAAAACCACCAGCTGCACCATAGGAGAAGGATGAGCAATCTCCTCCTGTGAAATGAACAGCCTCTGAAAACCCACAGGAGGGTCTCAGCTATGGGTCAGTTCCAGCTCGATGGTACTCAAGAACCACCACCACCACCAGGGTGGAACTGCTCAGTAAACTAAGTAAGCATAGTGTTATTTGTGTCTACTTACTAATTTGTCATGAACAATTTTGGTTGGATTTTTCACCACATTAAAGATTCTGCTTCTAGATATGGTTGGCATACCCTTCCCAACTTCATAATACCTTCCTATAGAATCCAAGGCTCTTTTCAAATTCACATTCCTTGCCAGAGACAGTATACCTGGCAACAAGGTAAGCATGGGTTTACTTGTGCTTATTTATAAATACGTACTAAGTCGTTTCACATAAGTGTTGCCATGTGGTAAAAAACATAAGAAATTCTTGTCCACTAGAGGTAAGTAATACAAGTAAACTTGTATTTTCCGCACTTACTTTGCTTACTGGGTAATCTACCCCTGGTAGGGATGCATATGCAAATGGAGCCCCAGGATGTAAGCCCAGCCACAGGTATCTTCAATGCCAGGACGGTAACAAAAGGATGAAACGGAATCAAATTTCACTCTATTTTTCTCAATATTCTATCGGATTTAGGACAATCAAGAGAAACCCCCTAAATCACAAATTTCAATCTGGAGAAAAGGGTGAAGTGGAAATGTTAATGAAACTAGGCTGGGCTGGTAAATATTTAAAACCTGTATATCTTTTATTAAGATGTTATAAATATTTCACCCTGTCCTAGAAACAACTTCAAGGAATTTCAAATATTGTGTTCTATGTATAATCAATGAGTCTTAGAGAACAGGAAACTAATGAAGCTTGATGAAGAACCATTTTTTGTTGATCCTATTAACTTAGATACACTGAGAATCATTTGGCTTTCACAGAACAGGAACCTGGGATTTCTGAACATGGGCTAAAGGAAAATAGACAAGCTATGAACAATCAGATGGGCCGTAGAGCCCACACTTGACTCAATATAAGGAAAAATTAAGCGTAAAGAATTAAACTACTTAATAAAAATATTTATTAAACACAGACAGAAATACAGAAGAACAAAATAAATGCAAGAATACCTGTAAATAGCATCTTCAAAAAAACAATAAGGTTGTAGCATTTTGTCATTGCAATATTTTTCTGGCATTTTCATTGTATCAGATTATACTCTAACTTACTTTGTAGCCTTGCAACATTGCATCTCAAATTAAGTTATTTTTACTTTTAAGCAGAAGGAGAGTTCTGATGTCTAATTATTTTCAGTCTTTGAAAACTGTGTTTCTCTTAAGTACAAATTCAATATTTAAAAAATATTATCCCTAACAGTCTTGGTGTGTTAGCAATGCCAAGCTCATGTTTCTAATTAGCCAGAAAGCAGGTAGGCAGTAAAACATATTTGTGTAAAAAGGAGGGATAGTAAACTTAACTTCACACCTCATAAAAAGCTTTGTAGTCATCCCAGTGGTGGCTCTCAGCATCCTGTAAAATGCTTGTAGCACAAACTCTGACGCAGTAGTCCGTAACTTGAAACTGTAGAGTGTTGATGAATTCCTGATATCGTTGGACAGGCACCAGGAATATGGGTCTGTTCAGAGTCAATGATCAAAGAGACAGAGATTTAAGGCCTGTGCAGTAGGAGGTAACAATCTCCAGCACTACAAATGGTTCTGATTATTAGATATCAATCATTCATTTCCTCCCAATGCTGGAGTCGGCATCCACATTCACTTTCCAAAAAGGGGGATGGAGGAGTGGGAGCTGGCCTTTGTTTTGCAAGTCCTTTGAAAATGTACATCTGCTGTTCTACATATATGCACTTCCACTTGAGACAAATCGCATTGTCAATACATCATTCCAAAAGAAAAGAATTCTTTATAAACCTATTATTAGAGCCCAGTGCATTATTTAGGCATTAGATTACAATTATCATTATCATTAGCAAACAACATGCATTTGTCAGAATCAACTCTTATAAAGCTATCTTATGTCCCACATCCACAGTCCTTTTGTTTTAAAAAGATTGTGATTTAGTAGATGTCTATTATCTCATAAACCGTTTTAAAATAATCTAAAGAAATAAGGTGGGTTCTGACAAACTTGTTTATAAATTGAAGTATGAATCACAACATTTGAATATCTATGAGAACTACAGCAACATGGAGCTATATTCTACATCGAATCAAATTTATTTCCATTACTTTCATCTTTACCTATTTCTGTCACACTACTCTTACATAACTTAAAGACTGCAAAGGCAGAATGAGGAATATGGAATAGATTTCTCATGTTCTCTTTGGACAGGGCATGCTATTCTCTGAAGAAGAATGCAAGAGTAACCAGAAAGACCATGTGGCGTTACCTGTAGTCATTTTCATTCTCTGTATTTCAAACACTTAGTTTTATTGACTAGTATTACATGAGAATTAAGGCTGCTAAGTACTTCCTCTATGAATTTTATACATAGTTATGGACCAATGGATAACTCTGAAACTGATTTACATTGGCTATTAAAATGCTCGACTGAAGAGGTTTTTCCTCCACCTGCTTCCAACAACCGGTTGGCTCCATTGCTCAACTCATTGCCATAGAATTGGAACCAACTCATACCTGACCCTACACTGAGTTTTCTTGGGCTATAGGAGGTTAGCCATCATTCTCCCACAGAGCTGCTGGTGGATTTCAATCCCCAGAGAGGCATGGCCTTGGGTTAGTAGTGCAGCTATGCATAATTATGTACATAGTCTATAGACTATGCCTTCGGGACTCCCCGCCAGTTGGCTTGAAGTGGGGGAGAGGTACTCCCTGCCAATTGGCTTGGGGATGCGGGTGGGAAATGGAGGAAGGTATATTTCACAATCACGTATATGTGGCACAAAGTTTACTCGTCCTTTTCAGTATGGTCAGTACAGCGTATCTTTATGAAACGAAAGGGATACAAGAGATTACCTATCATCAAATCAGGTAAGAAACTAGTGGTAAGAAACTGCTGCATTTTGGAAGGCAAGCAGTTCGAATCCACAGAAGGATCGCAGTATCTTCCCGTGTGCTTCTCTGTCTCTGAAAGCCCTTTGGAGGGTCAGCTATAGGCTGACTGTTACTGTTACTCAGTAACAACATCATCATATCTGTGACTATACAGCATGTTCCACCATCTTGACATTCCCTACTTAGGACAATGGCAGACATTCCCGTTTGAATCCACCAGCAGTTCCACAGGAGAAAGATGGGCAATCTCCTCCTGCGTGATTTACAACCTCTGAAAACCTACTGGGGAATCAGCTATGTGTGATAATGTGACAGCAATGAGTGTGTGAGTGGTTCAAGACAAATAAAAAGAATTCACCATGTTAATTATTATATCCCCCCTCTCAAATATGAATCATCAACATTTCAAAGTTTACATATTCATTTAAGCATAGCCATGCCCTTGATTTAAATGACACTCACTTCTTAGTTGTTTCTTTCATCAGATTATCATATTGTGTCAAGTGCAGGAAGACATACACAGCTGTGGAGAGCAGCGTGTGCAAGTTTCTCAAGGGTGCTTTGGAAGGAACCTCCGTGCCTCTCTCTTGCAGTCTTTCCAGGACAGCTGTTGCCACTTTACAACAGGCCTCCACAAAGTTTGCTCTAATTTCCTGAAAAGAATCATCTCTGCATGCCAGAGCCAGTGGAAGCATTGTGTCAAGTTTTTCCATGATGTCAGAACAAAACTAGGGAGAAATAAATGTGGCACTGAGTTATTTGTACTTTGACAGTACCGTGTAATTTACATACAGTGGAGCCAAATTCCTAAATAATGAATCTGGCATCAGACATAAACATAATGATAAAGCTTTATAACAATCGATTTCTCTGTTAAGTTAAATGTTTTATGTCAAGTACGGAAATAACAGAAAGAGGCTTCTTTCTCTCTAACCGTCAAACTTTATGCTTACCAGACATTAGGAAAAACTCATCAAACAGCTTTACATGACAATACCTTTATTTGTAGTTAATAGAACTCAAAACATGTATCCTTGATAGTAACATGATTGCATTATTTGTTGAATTTATCCTAATTCTCCTTTGCTCAATTTCCATAACATCTATTTGTTTTTATTAAATATCATACATAAGGGTCAGATTCTTTTACGTTTAGAAATTAAATTAGAGATAATTTCACGTAGAATTTTATGCAGTTGGTAAGAAGTCAGTAGCTTTCATAAGAGTAGGTCAAGCTTTTCACTATCTATTATGTATCTACTCCTTTTTAGTGGCAGAGGGGTTGTGGTGGATGGAAAACAAAGCCTGCTTCCACTCCAGATCAACCAACAGACTTCCCTGGGGACTGTTCTGGAGCCTGAGAGTTGCAGGAGCAGAGTAAGGAAGCCATCTTCAAAAACTCTTTTTAAAAAATCTGTCATAGTTTGCTAGATTCACAGTTAATTTATTTAACTATTTCCATAGTTTGTAATTTTTCTGTATGTTCTGTGAATCTCAAAACGTATGCAAAGGTTTAAGAATGATGCTAATGAAACCAAATCTACTTCCTAAACAACATGCCTCTGCAAACTCTATGAACTTTGATAAATGACGATAATTATAAAAAGACTTCAGGCCTTTTGTTCATAGGTTTGCTATGAGTCGTGCTCAACATGATGGCAATCAACAAGTGGAAATAAAGGCTTAAGAAGCACTCAAGAAGACATAAGATAGTATCCCTTTCAACCACATAAATTACTCCTGGAGACATTCTTAAAACAACCATCTTTGCTGCATTTCCCATATTTTCATGAAGACAATAAGCTTTAGACTCCTGGAACAATAAGTTGCCAGTAAGTCATTCTTACTCACAGTAGTCCATGAATACCAAAGAAGAAAACTGATGGTAGGTACATGCCAAGCACTTGTCAAAGAGATTTCACCATTTGATATTTACAAGTTCCTTTCTGCATTACTTTATATAAACAGACATAATGAAACAATATCCCTGACTACGGTAACCAAAGACTTGTGTTTAATATTTGCCTTTGCAATTTTCTTCGGTTGGTCCTCTTCAGGAATCAGGTGGCTGCCGTGCCAAACTTGCTGGACGTCTGCAAGGCTTATGGTATAGCTTATAGCTGAAGACCTTTCATTCTGTTCCTGCTGGAGAACTTTTGTGGAAAACTCTTCAATTGCTGTTATTATGCAATGTGCCATGGGCAGTGATATGTCCTTAAAAGCACTTTTCCAGCCAAACTCTAGCAAAGTGGCCTGAAACATAAGTTCATATATCATATTCATCTTCATTCAGCAACAAATACTTCTATAGTTATAGATAGAAAAGAATCACTTTTAATCAGCATGTTGACTATAGGTATTCTCTGAAAAACAGGCAGACCTTATGTCATGAGTGAACTCTAACTCTACTGCTAAATATGATAAGTCATATTTGTCAGTAAATTGGAACAAGTGCATATGGTTCTTATTTAGCTTTATTTTAATGCAAGAATAGGCTTATATGCAGCAAGTGAAGATGACTGTGATGAAGAATTTGCTGCAAGTAGGGGCATTCTTTTCAAAGTGAGAGCAAATTTACATAACATTAAAGAGTCATACATGCTTAACCCCAGGACTTAACTATACTGAAAAGCTGTTCCTATAATCTGAAAAAAAAATTGCCTCGTGAATAAAGCAATATACAAAAAACATGTGTATTCCTTACACATAGTAATATACTCACATTCCATTTTAATTCATCAGTGGATTTAATAAAAACTTTTTTCAAAATTTAATCTCTTAAATATAGTTCAATAAAACCTTCTTTATGAGAGCTGAAAGCTACACTATCACATAAAGCAACCTTTATATTCAATATATTTAATAAAGTCTAAATTAGATTTTTATAGTCTATTTTATAGTTTATTGTTACCAACTATTGCAACATAAGACAGCATTTCATATTCAATCTTTTATTTCTTTTTCACTCTCAGAAATCAAGACAAGCCAAAAATAGCAATAAAAAATGTATCTCTCAGAGAAAACACATCGTGATACATTTCTGGATTTTTGCTTAGACTATTATCTGTCCACAAAATACTGAGCAGCAATACTTTTTTTGTTCCAGAAAATGGGATATTAAAATGATCTGCATTGCTTTCTGTGCTTGTTGGGGTGTGGGGAGGAAGGAATAGCTTGGGTTGGAAAACTGGCATTCTTTTTTTTTTGTCTAACATGATAAATGTATTTATCACTATATATTTACCCAATTCTCCTAAAGTTCTATAAAGTACTGAAGCCATATGCATAATGTTGTTATACGTCTTTGAGTCAGAATTGTCACAGAGCTGACCCTCAACATAGTTTCAGAAGCAGTAAATCTCCTGAGAGGAAACTGCCCGTCTTTCTCCTGCAGAACAGCTGGTGGATTAGAGTCACGCACTTTTAGATCAGCAGTGCAACAAACTGAACAAATGCTTAGAATTAAACTTTCTCCATTTTAATACAACTTTATTTACAACAGTATGTCTTCTATTTCAATTTCAGAAGACCCTAGGCTCCCTATCTTTGACAGAATTACTTTTTCCCACAGAATCTCAGGATTTTAGTTATGGGAAAAAAAATTTTAAACATCATATAGAATTAAGTTTTTTGTATGGTCCTTTTCTGCCTAAAATTATTGAGTTTACGATAATTCAGTTTTTTACATGCATAATCAACAAGAATTTATTTTTTGTAGGTGCTGTACAAACAAATGAAATTATTAATCTTCTAGAGAGAAAATTACAAGATACTATAATAAAAATATGACTCTTGTTTTCATTGTACTTTGAATTAAGTTATTACTGAACTTTCTAAAGTTTATCTAGACCACCAACATCATATGACCTGAAAAGCAATTTCTCATTAATTTGTATAGGATGAATTAATAATTGAATGTCCTAATTCATATAATATGCTGTTGTTATAAGTGAAGTACTAAGAATGTCATGATTATATCTTTAGGATATGAAAGCATTTCCTTGAGACATATTTGTAACAGAAATAAGAAAGAGAGTAAACTCTGGTGGCCTAGTGGATAGCAAGTGGTAGCACCAAATCAAAAGAGGGCATTTCAAATCTACTAATTGCTCCATAAGCGAAAAATGGGCAGTTTCCTCCCATGTGATTTATAGCCTCTGAAAACTCACTGGAGGGTAAACTATGAGTGGGTTTTGATTCAATGACAACGAGCTTGAGTTTTTTTATTTAAAAAATCTGTCTTTATAAAAACAAAGAATAAGAAAATTTCGATTTTCAGGGTATTCATTAAAATAGCGTATTCTTTCCATCATTCATTCAAAGAAATGTATTATGCTAAAAATTGCCATTAATGTGTAGGTGTATATGAAGTGACAATAACCAAAAATTGGTCAATTGAAGTTATTCTTTTTATCTTTTCTTTCCCTTTATAAATATCTATTCTTTTCCCCCCACTTTTCAACAATTATCTATGACTGAAATTTTCAAAATGTAGCCTGTAGGCTGAGACGAGAGTAGAGAACTCTCTGCTCCTCTGATGAACACCATGCAAAGGAAAGCAGTGTCACACTAATTTGAACTGTTGCCAAAAGTTTAAAACTTAATTTCCAGCTATGAATTATTTTCTTGAGGAGCTAAAGGGTAAAATTCAAGACATTTTTATTCATAGGGGATTCACTGACATAGATATATGAATAAAAAGATACTGTAGTTCCCCCCCTCCCCGCTTACCTCTTTTACTGGTAGCAATTGTTCTGAAGGGGTATTAGCTTCATTTGCTGTAGATCTCCCTAATACAACTTCTTGCCAGGATGTCTCTAAAATATCTAAATAAAGCAAAACAAAAAGACATTAAAAGGATGTACCAGAAGTTATTATTAAATCCAGGCTAAACTTAATCCTTTTGAAAATATCTACTCATAGTATACTTACACAAACACACAAATATCAACAATTCACTTGAAATATAAATCTTGCAACAAATAAGAAATATTTGATAATTCCAAAAATAGATGGCTTTTATTAACTTTTTTCTTTTTTTTTTTTTTAGAATTAAAGAACTCTTTTTTTCATGACAAAGGTAATACTAACTAAAACATAATCAATAAGAAATACTCTCAAAAGAAATCTTCTACTTTTCATTAGTCAGTCACAGCTGTGGGGCCAGAACTGACCCTCTGGTGAGTTTTTAGAGGCTGTTAACTGTTTGGGAGGAGATTACCCATCTTTCTCCTGCAGATAAACTGGTGGATCCAAATACATTGCCTTTACAGCATGACTCTCTTCTCACCAGAGCTCCCTACTTTTCACTGTAGCTTGCAGTAGTCACAGTTCTATAAAAGAAAGCTCACTCAATATGAATTTGTCTTGTATTTGTTTTCCCCTTACGATATCACCATATACTTGGCATATGCTGAGGAATTACATACTGTGACCTAATTCTTCACTGACTTTTTCTTTGAGGCATTTAAAGGATTAATTTCTACCCATGTTTAGGCAAAGCAAATGTCAAAATCTTACTGATTCTTGTGGGAGAGTCTCACAAACAGTAGAAGCTTCTAGCAAATGTATTTTGTGTGTGTGTGTTTTTTTCCTAAATGTGGTTGTATGGATTTGACTATGAATAATTGCTAAAGGGTTCAGTTCACAGAAATAAAAATATTTTGTTCTAGTGTTGAAGTTAACGGTCAACATTCTTGTACATACAGCACATTGACAAGCTAAGTATAGTATGTGGCAGGGTATTCTAACAGCCTTTTGAGGATTTGAAATTATCTATTGCAAAGAAAAGTATTCCTTAACTCTCATGTTTCACAATAATTTTGGACTTGTGAATGCTTCTGAAAATTTGTTTAAAGTGACAGAACACTCTACACAAAACCACACAATACGACATATGGCAGGCACACTCACACCTTATTGGGAATTCCCAGTACTTCTTATAAAACTCATTCATGAACCCCAAGGGTCTATAGACTTCAGTTTAAGACTCCTGTCCCATTTCTTAAGATACATCACATTGCAGAGAATTGTTTAAACTTAAATAATGTTGTATCATTCAACATAAAATGCTTGTTCTAACGTTGGAACTTTAATATGATTTTTTAAAGATGATGTTATAAATAAGAATAAATTCTAACCTAGAATAGCTTCCACTTTAATAAAAGATTACAAATTAAAGAATTTAAAAGAACTATTTTTAAGTGAAAGAATTCCTGTGAAACCTTACATCTATAAGAATATAAACAAATTTTCTAAAAGTTCCGAGTAGAAATCTTTCTGAACACAAAATACAAAAATAATTCAAAAAATGACGTACAAAAAAAAATTACGTACGACAAGAACACTATTAACAGTCAAAATAGATATGACAAAATGAAGTTGGAAATATCTCGAAAAATGTCCACATTTTTTACTTATCATTTTTACGTTAAAAATTTACCCTCAGATTTATTTGCACATATGCAAGACATTTTGCAAGGAAATTTTCTGTACCAGTGTTTGTGATAACGAATTGGGGAGAAAGAAATAATTCTAAACGTCAACCAGAGAGTAACTGGTTATGGTGCATGTACCCAATAGAAAACTCTTCAGCTGTTAGAAGGAACGATGTTTCCTAAATAATTACAAAAACCAGTTACGTAGCATAATGTTTTCCGTTATTTTAACAAGAGACTACACATGAAATAGTTTACCTTTGGAAAGGGAATCTAGACAAATAGAATGGAGAAGACCTAATTTTCACCAAGTACTCCTACAGTTAAAAAAAAATAATCAAGAAGTGAAAAATAATAAAAGATTAGGTTGTTAATGGCACAATAGAGAAATGCTTGGATCTGTAGTCTGTTTACAGTTAGCTCATGTTGTTTTTGTTGTTAAGTGCCTTCGAATCACAGGCTCACAGGCGAAGGAGAGTCCTTTCATCCTCTCTCCAGGTTCATAGGGTTTTTGGAGGCAAGCTATTATGGAAGTGAATGCCACTCCTCCTTCCACGCTTGTTTAATCGGGGAGCTCCACCCCACTCTCAGTCCGCATAGTTAGCTCATAGAACTAGATAATCTAAACGCTATTTACTTTTCGGGGGTGAAAAGAAAATTAGTTTGAAGTATAAGCCTTGCTTTGTTTCTGGAAAAAAGTATTGGCCATTGTGTAGCTATAATTTGAAAAAAAAAACAAAAAAACAAACAAACCCAAAACCCCAAAAAGTTAATTATCTTATATTTATCATTTCATGCCCAAATACATTATGTTTATTCACTCAAAGTAATGTGCTTACATGTTTATATAAACCATCTGCCTATTTTCAAGATGATTAAGAAAAAAAAGATAAGCTTTCCAAGACATCTCTTGCTGGTGAGCAATTTTACCACGAAATAGAAGATGAATGATCACACAATTTTCATAACCTTTAAAATACCTTTCCCCTTTTAAAGGGAAATTCTTTAGAATTTAACTATTTTAAATTCAGTTCTATATAGACAAAAAAATAATTTTTAGGTAAAACTAATAAGTGACAGTCAATCTAGGTTAAGATGATGACTCATGAGTTTAAGGAGTTGTGGCAATTTTATGTTTGGAGTTGAAAATGGTGAGTTAAAAAAAATTAAGCACTGTAGACTTCCATGAACTTCCTGAACATTTAAAAAATTATCTCACATGTAAAAAATATTGAGAATACTATATATTTATTAGCATCATATAGGTCATTTCTGGCTCAAAATACAGTTATTGCACACAACCAATGATGATTTCTTTAAGAGCATGCCTAGATTAAGAAGTCCAGAGGAGTGCAGAGGGTCACAGGAACACCAGCTGCTGAATGGCTTTCCCCCACAGAGTTCTCTGTGGTTCATTTTGCACTTCTGGTTAGTTTCCACACTGTCTCTTTCTTTCATGGAGAGTAGAGGTTGGCAGTACTTCCCTGTGACATCCACTTTCACACCCAAATTGGTCTTCGTAGGTTCCCATTGTGTGCACTACAAAGCAACGTGCCTTGTTGGCAGCTCTAAGTGGGAACTACATGTCTTTCTTTTCTTCACTGTTCTTTTCTGGCTCACAAGCAACCTCCCACCAAAAGCTGAATCTGTAGAAGAGACTAGATCCAAGAGATAATACTATGAAAAAGTATGAAGAGAAGCCCAGGTGGCCACCTTGCAAATTTCCAATGTGGAAGCCTTCGACCTCTCTGCCCAAGAAACAGCTAAAGTCCTAGTGTAATGAGCTTTACAAACCCTAGGAGCCTCTTTACCTTAACTACATACGCCTCCCTAATACAATCCCTTAACCAACTAGCTAAAAAACTCTTAGAAGCCATTTGACCCCTCTTAGGACCCCCTAAGAGTACAAACAATCTTTCAGAAGATCTGAAATCTTTGATTCTTCTGAGACAAACCCTAAGTGTTCTTCTTACATCCAATTGAAGCAGCCATTGCGCTTTGTCAATGCTGGGGCTAAAAAAAAAAAAAAAAATGAGGGCCAAGAAACCTCCTGGTATAGATAAATCTCAGATGCCACCTTTGGAAAAATTGAGGAATTGCCAAAAAAAAAAAAACACCACCACAACTTTATTCTGAAGGAGCATCGGAAATGACCTGTGAATCAAATCTTAGGCCATTCCATTAGGTAGGATCACTGAAAAGGAATAAAGTAGGACACTCTACCATCAAATAACATCCTAACATTATCTGAAATTTAAAAAAAAGAAAAAATGGAAAACCATCAAATCATGGCCAAAACAAAAGCAAACAAATATAATGAACAAATAGCTTTTCTTCAGAAATATTTCTTGTGTTTCTGCAAATTCCATTGTCCTATTTTCAACTAACAAAGCCAATTTGGCTAACTCTACAATGTGGTAAACATCAAAACTTTAAGTTAATCATCTGAGTATTTTCTCTATGCAACGTTAAACACCTGGATATTTTCAAAACACATGTACAATGAAAAAAAAAATCCAATTTTCCTCGGATTGTTTGGGTTAGGTAGACATAGTAGGCAACTCTTTCCAAGATCTTTATTAGCAAAATATGCTCCAATCAAAAGAAATACACAGAAAGCCAAATGACTTGATCTCCTTTTTCCTATTTCCCTCTCTCTGACACAAGACTTCTAAGCAAAATGTTAACTGTCAGGAATACATAATAGTTGACTTAAGATACATTTGGCTTCTTTAATCAGGCTTTTCAAGAAGCACTTTCCTTCCTGATTTAAGAAACCAATGCTTTTGATAAGAATTGATACCTTTGCTATACTAAGCAAGACATTTGTTTTTTTCTTGACATTTTTCTTTAGTACCATTCTTCTCAGGGAGCTTTTTACATAACGTGTCAGATTAAATCAATCATGGCTTTGTTACAGAAAAATAATTAATTTCAACAATGAAGAACACACATACCACAATTGAATAGTGTAGCCTGCCAACATTTTCTGTATGTGCTCTTCAAAATGTCTTCCAAAAAGTTGATAATCAACAAAGATGTTTATATTTTATATTCTTGTCTAAGCAACATTAAATTTGTTTTTGCCTTCTATAAAACAGATAATGATGACATTATTACCTAAATTCAGGATTGTTGTGTTATAATTCTATTTCTCTTATTCAATAATTGCTCTCAAGCAAAATGTCCATGCCAGTCTTCACACTGTTTTATCTTAACCTTTATTGTTGTTGTGTACCACCAAGTTGAAACTGATCCATAGGTGACCCTCTGGTGGTTTTCAGGGGAAGCTAATTGCATGGCAGGAGACTGTCTTTCTACCATGAAGCAACTGGTGGATTTGAAACACATGCCTTTAGGATTGCAGCACAGCTCCTTACCACTAGTTCACAAGAACTCCCTATCTTAGCCTAGAAGATATAGTTAAAATGTGAAGATACAGACTTAAAATGGCAATAAAAGGTTAATACTGGACTTACTGATTTTAGGAAAAGTTAGTAAAAATTGGTCTGATCTTAACTTAGAGGTATCAAACCCAGGATAGGGCAGGGTTCAGAACTATTTTCCACAGGCTCCTTATGAGCCATACTCCAGTCCATGGCTCCTAGAAACAACAACAACAACTCTGCCCTGTAGGATTGCTGTGAGTCAGAATTGCTATGAGAGAGTGGGTTTGGGTTATCACATCACGTGCTATTTTTATACTATTTTGCCATTTGTTTCTTTGCCAGTTTGAGATCGCTACAATCCACCTTTATTCCTCCCCCCAATTTATTTCCAATCTTGCAAAAACTATACTTCATAACATACTTTAAACTGTAACCTAATATGAAACAAAGTAGGTGAGCTCTTCTTAATATAAACTAAATGACAACTCTATTAGATTTCTAAGGTTATGGTCCAAACGACGTAAATAATTACATGATCAAATGAAATGTCATTCTTACTGCAAATATAACTTGCTTCTCATATTTTGTTTTATAGATGCATCCATTCTCAATAATACTTTTTAGGATTATATATAGTAATATGTAAAGTAGAAAAAATCCAGTGTATTTTATTCTATTAAAGTTGAAAATCTTTATAGATACGACAACAGGGAACATAACTATTAAGGCTTTGATTTCTACCTTTAATGTTTGAAAGGCACCATTTTAATATACCCCAAACAACTTTCTTCAAAGGGATTTTGTTGAGATCACTAAACTTAATATACAATTATGACTCCTGTTACAACAACTCACCTTTATTGAGTGTTTATGATACGCTAGGCGTTCTTTCAAGCACTTTACATGCACTAACTCATTTAATCTTTACAATTGTATTTAACATTATTAGAATATGAAAAGTTTAATCTTGAAGGAAAAGAAAACAAAAATTAACATGATCCAATATCATCGCTTTGATGTCAAGAAAACTGAAATCCAGAAGACAAAACGTTCTGCTCAAGGCATAAAAGTAGTCACTAGTCTTTTAGTCTTTCTTTTTTTTTTTGTTCCACCAATGGGGTTTATTAGGAAAGGGAAATTATAGAGTGAGGGAGGCAAAGAGTATGTCGTGCAAAATTAAGTTTTAGCCCAACTTTCCCAAGGCACAATTCTTCAGTTAGTCCAGGCTCTTGTTTCAGTTCAGTAAGTCAAATCCAAATCATCCACCAGGATTTTCTCAGAGCAGTTATAAGCCAGCTTCTTCTTGAAGCATCTGGCAAAAACAGCCTGATCTTTAACTGTGTCCAGCACAAATGCAAGAAGCCTCAGGTCACGTCTTGCCACAGTCTCTCTACCACCAGAGTCTCTCTCACAAAATAACTCAGTAGAGTGTGGTTACTTTTACTTCAGAATGACAAACAACTATTGTAAAATAATGATAACCTGGTGTGTGATTGTAAGACTAAAAGTTGGGGGTTTTTAGCCAGTTAGCCTCTCACCTCCAGCTACCTTATCTGCAAGACACATATGCTTGCAAATCAGCATCAGTGATGAAACTAGGGTAAGAGAAGAGTGCTTCTCAACACTGAGCAGCAACTCGAGGTGAGACAGGCTTGTGGCAGCAAGACCCTGGTGAGAGTGAGGCCACTAGTCTTTCAATGTGTTTCTTTAAAGAAAAAGAGATGATCTTAAATTATACAGAATTGACTTAAGATGTTTTGTCAATGTGAATTATAGAAGTCATTACTTACAAAGAATGAAATGCAATTCATAATGTCCATTATGTTTACTGTTTGTTTAATAATTTCATCATGTGATTTCTCCCCAAGAAATGGTATAGATCCAAAGTGGCAGGAAGCAAAGCCTGTGAGAAATGATATATTTACAAATAATAATTAAAAAAATAACACTACCTGATGCATTCCTGGGCATCTCGACTGACAAAAACATTTCTTCAAACAATTCTTGAACATTTTTTTCCAGCTTCAGAAGAGATTTTACGAGCTGTGCTAAGAATGTTAGTTCATGTAAAGAGAGAGAGAAGTTTCTTCCTTTCTGTGGGCAGTCAGGAGCAACTGAAAAGAGAAAAGCAAGTTGTACATTTTACTTATTCTCTCAGAAAATATTTGAACAATCTATGTGATTCCATAAACCATCAAAACTAACGAGATCCTCTATAATTAAACCAAATTGGTTCCTAAAGAAATGGATATAACATCTCTCAGGAAAGTCTTTTCTTCGGGGAAGTGGAGATGAGTATTATTGTTTCATGAAAATATGACAATTAAATAGATTGATTTTCTGAGTTACAAACAAGAATGTAATTTGTTGCTGCAAAATCACATTTTATACGTCTCCGTTGTAAGTCTAGTATAACTTGAGTTTTGAACATAACTTAAATATAATCAGATAAATCCAAATTGAAGGGCATTCTATGATATGCTGATCCATACTCTTAAAAATTATAATTTAAAAATGTCAAAACTGAGGAAATGTTCTAGGTTAAAGGAGTCTAAAATGAATTGACATCTGAAAGCAATACATGATCAATTATAAAGGATATTATTAATTTGTTAAAACAGGAGTAAGGTTTACAATCCAAAGATACTACTTTAATAAAGTTTATTTTCTGGTTTACATAACTGTGCTGTAAGGTAATATAATGTCTTTGTTTCTAGAAATATATATTGGAGCATGTCAACGGAATCAATAGTTCAGGGGGGAAAGCATATATGCATGTAGATAGAGAGAGAGAGAGAGAGATAACAAATGTGAAAATGGGACAAAATGAACATTTAAGATTTTGAATGTGAAAGACCTTGAGCAGCATTTTGGTTAGTAGGGCAACACCCTAGCGACTCGGCCACCAGAGCTCTTCATAACTGCCTACAGGGTTCTCAGGGCTGTAAGTCTTCATTGAATCAAACCATCTCATGATTCTCCCACAGAGTGGCTTTGCTGTTGTTACTGCTGTGTACCTTAAATTTGGAACTGACTCATAGCTGACTCTACAGCAGGTTTTCAGAGGCAATAAATTGCAGTGCAGTAGACTGAATTTCTTTCCCCTGCAGATCAGGTGGTGAGTTTGAATAGCTTGTCTTTGAGTTGGCAGCATAATTATTTACAACGATGTCACCAGAAGGTTCAAACTGCTGGCTTTTTTAGGTTAGCAGACAAATTCTTTAAGTATTTCACCAGCGGGGCTCCTTGCTCTTCTGTGTTGTTGCTATGCACCGTCAAATCAGATCCAGTTCACAGGAACTATGTACAATAAAATGGAACTCTGCCAGGTCCTGTCCCAAGCTTCTCAATTTTATTGTTGTCAGGATCTGTCCAGTTGAGTCCTATAGTTACAAATACATGGGAGAGTATTTGTTCCTCTTTTGAGTTAGTCTGGTCTTTATTCTGCTAGGCCATGATTATGGACCACTATGAAGCTGTCAAAAGAAGTGTTGGACATAAATGTTTAGACACAGCAACTGTTTTTGGTTTGCCACAATATTAAATTGTAGTCTTGAAGAATGTGTAAGAACTAACACCTTCTATTACGGAATAGAACAAAAC